TCGTGCGCCGCGTTCTTTCTTCTCTCTCTCTCTCTCTCTCTCTCTCTCTCTCTCTGTCTGTCTCGCATTTTAAAGAGAAAGAAAAAGAAAAAGGAAGAGAGAAGAAGAAAAATTTGTTTCCTCTTTCTGTTGCAGTGACGGGGTTGAAGCTGCTCGGCATAAACGTCCCGGCATACTCCCTTAGGGGCAAGAGCGCGCTTCTCGAGTGCAGGTAAGAGGCACTTGGACGTGGCGGTGGTGGTGGTGGTAGTGGTGGTGGTGCAACGTCGTCGAACGTCGTATCGTTTTCAAAGGGATTCTTCTTCCCTTCCTCCACGCGTCTCGTTTTTCTTCCCATCGATCCCATCGATTCCCACGCCATCCCCAACTCGTTGGACTCGGGTCGTAAAGAAACGCCGAAATTTGATTCCCCGGCTAAACCTTTCCTTATCTCCGATGATTAATAAGAGGGCAGCGTTGAATGGTACTCGTTCGATTCGAACGACAGTCTCGATGCATCAGAATCTCGATGCGTAGAATCTCGGCACGAGAATTTCGTATTAATTAAGATCTAACAATCGAAATCTGTTGCACGAATCTCTACTGTCTCTCGAGACTCGTTTCGATAGGCAGAATCGGCGCGAACAATCGAGCAGAGCCACGTGGCTGGTTCACACGACGAGAGGAGCGCGAGTGTTGGAACGCTGACCGCGAGATAGATGGAGTCGCGATCGTTGAATGAGGGGAGGAAGAGGAGAGGCGGTTTCCGAGCGATTTTTCTCCGTTTATTTACGGACGAGAAGAAGAGGTCGTAAAGACATCGATAAGACGCCAGCCAATAACGTATCGAGTTTACGCTTACCGGCCGAGCGGGACGGTAAATAAGATTAAAAATAAGAGCAAGAGAAGAGAGGGATCGGGATAATCCCTCGGAGCTACGAATCTCGATATCTTTTCGCTCTCCTCGCGCTTTATTTATTTATACTCCCGATATCGTGGACCGCAATCCGAGCGGGAAACTCTTCTCTCGCCTGAAAAAAGATACGCGCGTACAATCTCCCGCGAGATATCTCGATCGCCGCTCCCCATCTCCACTTTCTCGATTTCGCCAGATCGGTACGGACGGTTTCCAGCTTGGCGAGCTTCGTCCTCCCTCCTTCTTCGCTCGTTGCCTCGAGCGTAGTTCAGTCCACGCCACACGAATTTGCGCCCCAATCTTTCCCTCTCTTCGATACGATAACGCGCGGTCATCGCAGACCTCTCTCTCTCTCTCTCTCTCTTCGGGTCAGATTTGACCGGTAATTGCGCGCGAGTCTAGTAGTTAACGGCGGAATCAAAGTTTCGGGAATCTGTTCGTTAACCACGAGTCTCTCTCGATTAACCACGATTCACGAGAGTCGGGGAGAAAGACGGACGGAAGGATGGAATCCAAGAGTTGGACGAGTTTACGTTTCATCAAACGTTGCGTTATACCTATACTTGCAAGATATCGAGTGATTCGAAATTAAAGCCGAGTAATAACAGGTAGCGGATGGGCTTGTTTTCCTCGTATATTTCGTAGCGAAAACAATGTGTGTATATATATATTAATGTTCGATCCCGTGTTTAAGGGGGCGAGAGTCGTGGAATAGGAGGTGGTATCTCGGTACACGAGAGGGAGATTCGATCGCTCGGAGAGGGAAGTGGGCGATATTAAAACGCGTTGAACGTTTTATCTATCCGGCCCGCTTTAAACGATGATATCTCAAGAATGGAAAGTCGTAACGGTATAAAACCGGGGATCGTTTTAAAGAAGAGGAGGAGGAGAGGAGTTTCCCGGGCGTGCCTATTATCGTGGCCGAGATACTCGTGGAGGAAGGAAGAGGTTGCGAGATCCTTTGGAACGATGATCGCGCAAAGTTTTCGGCGGCGTTTAAACCTTTTAAGAAATTTTCGTATCGCGATCGATTTCGCTCGATCGAGTAGCAGCGATAGTAGTGCTTAATAATCGCGAGTAAGTAAATCGATTAAAAAGGCGTTTTTTTTTTTCGGGACGAACCCGATGATATTTCGTGGATCCTTAAGCCAGGGCGCGCGTGCCGCCATGTTAATTAAGACGTAATGAAATTATGGCGCGGCATTGCGCGTCCTACAATTACGGTTAGTCGGAATATGCATTCTAATTAGTGGCACGGTCTCGACGACTTTTCACGAAGAAAATAAGGTCGGCCGTTGGGTATCGCGTCGGGGGCGCATTTCCAAGAGGGCACTTGTTGTTTTTCGCGAGAAACGTAAGAAACAGGCGGCAATTGCCGGAGTCGACTCTCTCTCTTTTCTTTTTTCACAAACGTGTCACCGACCTCGACCGCGAGGGATCGCTCGATTGCAAAATCTATCGAGAGAGAGAGAGAGAGAGACGCGTGTCGTCGATCGATGGAATCAACGCGGCGGTGATCCCATCCGCGACCAGCCACCTGTCGAGGCGAAATCCCAAGATTAATTCACGGAACGCGAAGTCGAGCGTAAGATAAGAGTTTTTCTCAATTTTCCGCCCTTCGTCGTCTCGATCCGACGCTCTCTCTCTCCTCCTCTCTCTCTCTCGACCGTTGTTTTTCTTGGAAATAACGTGCCGTTCCTTCCGTTTACGCGGTTTAATCTTAGAGAGTCGATCGTTTCTCTCTCCCTTTTCTCCCCCCCCCCCGCCAGAAATCAAACGTACGATGAAATTTGGACGTAAAATCGATCGACTTCGAAGCGTTGAATAGATGGATCTCTTTGAATTGGGTATATATCATCGAATATATATATGGTGGAGGACGAACTCGTAGCCTCGCTTAATGTGAAGTTCAAACTTTTTTTTTCCGTTCCCTTCGAATTTATGTAATCTAGGATAGATCGATTTCTCTCTCGCTTTGAACACGCGAACTTTTTTCTCTCTCAGAACGACACACGGTTAATTTCATCCATTTCGTTCTCTTTCTTTCTCGTTCCCTCTCTTTCTTTCCGTCAAAAATGTATCCACCGATGTATTCGTATTCTAATTTCTTTCTTCGCTCCCTTTTGTAAAGTTCGTAGTTCGGAAAAGTTGTGGAAACGTTCGACGGTTCGAAAGAAGAACGAGGAGCGAAATAGAGATGGGTCGAGCGTTTCGCCGTTCTCCCCCGTTTCTCACGGTCCAACGATATCGGCATGGAATTTTATATACTCCGCGTCGTTTCGATATCGTGTCTCTCGATCCCCCCCCCCCCTCCTCGTTTATTATTCCAGATACCGGAAGAAATTTGGATGAGCGAAATTCGGGATCCGTATGGAAAAAACGAGGAGGAGGAGGAGGAGGAGGAGACGCGTCTCGACGAGAAGCGACGCGACGTTTTTGAGTAATTAACGAGTAGTCGAGGTTCGAAAACGACGAACGTTCGTTGAACTTTGGCGTCTTGGCATCGACTACGCAACTTCGACTCGTTTGATTTATTCAAACGAAGTTGGGAGCGAACGTATCGACGAGACAACGAGACGTTCTTCGACGAATTCGTTCGAAGAAAGGAGGGAAAGACGGGTGGTTTCGATCGAGAGGAATCATCCCTCGCGGAAAAAGACGGAGCCGTGTATATGGGCGTCGCGTTGTTTGATATTTGGCGGGACGCAAAGAGACGAGGATCGTTCCTCCGACCTGGGTATAAATTGCAAATTAGTTTACCGTCCCCAGCGAACGCTCGGTTGTTGGTTTATCCGGCGTGTCGTGGCTGCCTTCGCTTCTTCTCCCGCCCCCTGCCTCTCCTTACCCGTCCCATTCAATTCCGGCTCGCCTGTTCCGTCCCGTCCCAGTCAGAATTCCGCGCCTGGCCGACGACGAAACCTTCCTTCCTTCCTTCCTTCTCGCTCCTTCCACGGATGGAAATTGCAGGAAATTTCACTTTCGGAAATTTCTTCTTCGCATCGAACGCGCGGGAAAATACCGTTTAATTCGAAGGTGGAGCACGATTAGACGCTGGAAAATACGTTTCCAATAAATTTCCCCATCTCGTTCGACGTGTTACGTACACAGGAGGAGAGAAAGGGAGAGATCCCGCAGGACACGAGCCGGCAAATGAGCCGGAGGATGCAAATCAATCCCACGACGCGGCCCTCCAAATTGTGCTCGAATGCGGCAATCCCCCTTTTCAGCTAGCTGCAACCGTGGGGAAAGGTTAGGTAGAGGCGACGCTGCAAGAGCACCAATGCAAGCGCCCCTCCCCTCGTGCGTCCCCCTTGGGTACGTCCATGTTGCGAGCACGTCGCAACGGTGGAGCTGTGTATCGGCCGCTATCACGAACGATATGGGGCCCCTGTCGCGGCTTACTCCTCTCCTCTCCTCTCCTCTTTCCGGCGTGGTGGAACGAAACGGATCGCGATCCATCTCGAACGAGTTGGGAAGAGGCGAAGGAAAGTTTCGAGAGGGATCGAAAGTAGGAGCAGTAAGAAAAAGGTATACACGTATCGGAGTAAAATTTAATCGCCGGTGAACGTGGCCGCGACTTGACTGGCGACCGCTTTTGTTATCGAGATGATGGTTGAAAACGAGGGAGGAAACGTGTTGTAACTGGACGCGTAGCGTAATCGAATTTAGGGACGAAAGCGGGGCGAGAATTGGTCGACTAGTTTTCCCAACACGCGTGTAAATTTCCACGGAATAACGGAATCCGACGGATCGCGATGCAACGACGGACTCTCTCTCTCTCTCTCTCTCTCTTGGAATATCCTCGTCGTCGTCGTCGTCGTCGTCGACCAACGCGCTAGTTTAATTACTTTACGAATATTAATTATCGCGGTTCTCTCTCTCTCTCTCTCTCTCTCTCTCGTTTCGACGGGATAGCCTGTTGCTGGTCGAAATAGAACGAGTCGACGAAAGATTTCGTTTGCTCGTGAAATTCCGTTGTTGGAAATTCGAATCGAAATTAACCGGGATCTTTCGTTCGGAACGAAATCCTTGGGGGATTTTTTTGTTTTCGGGCGAAGAAAGGGGAAGGGGAAAGGACTCGATTAGCAAATTGATGCGGAATAGTAGCGGTTGGACCGGTTGTGTTGATCAATTACCGTAATCGTTGCTATCCCGGATCGAAGGAAGTTTGTCACGCGACAATTCCTTCGTGCCTGCTATCATCGTAATTACGTTATCGTACACCGTGTATATATATATATATATACACATCGTTATCACGAACGAGCAAGTTTCCTCTCCGTTCATCCTCCCTTCTTTTCTTCTCCCGGTTTACGAATGGAATATTTCCGAACGGGTTCGGAAAAATCATAAGGGTTCGGAAACGAAACGAGTTCCGTGGATGACCACCACCAGATGAGACGATTCCACGGAATATCGGATAAAC